GGCATCGATTGAGGCCACAGCTTATGGGACGAGCGATAGAAAGGTAATATAATAGCAAATGATCTGCAAATGTTAGGTGTTGATATGTGCCTAGTGCTTTGCTGAGTGAACAGTTTATCAACACATACCATTTATTCCTCACAACCCCGGTCTTTACGGTTGGTGCTTAGTTACCTTCCAGTTTACTCCACTTCCCGGCATCTGCTTGTGTGCAGAGGAGGTCGGAGTCATCTAATGAACCGCTTCTGTCGTTGCCGAACGGAAAACGACACTAGCAAGACACAGACTAAGCAACCTGCTCAGGCTAATAACCTGCCCCCTGCTCGTAAAGATAAATCCCACAGTCCTCACTCAGCATTTTGGATATCTGGAACTATCTGGAACTAACTCTTAGGAAAGGTGGACTTCACGCTATTTGATTCCTAACATTACACAAATGAATGGCTAATTATGATGTGGCTTGTTTTATTTGTGCTAGCAAAGGGTTAACAAACTCATAATGAGCAAGAACCATTTGTAACTTTAAAAGCATGTACATAAATATACACGTATATATCTATAACTTCCAGGTAAATGAATTATGCCTTCAGGAGTTCTTTGTGCTACTAACCAAAAATAGTAACAAACTCATTGCTATCTAGTTGAGTTCCATTCATAGGGTTCCTATGGGGCGGGGGAGACTTTCCCCTGTGGGTTTCTGAGATTGTAACCCCATATGGGATTAGAAAGTCTCATCTTTCTCTTGTGGAATTGCAGGTGATTTTGAACTGCTGACCTTAGGTTAGTGGCCCAATGCGTATCCACTACTCCACTAGGGCTCTTACTGTCATGTCATTAAAAAACAAACAAACAAAAACCAACAACTCCTGTCTTCACCCAAATGCACACTTGAACCAAGTTATCGCTAATAAAGTCCATGACTAAGTGATTTGCATTTACTCATAGGAGCATGGACAAGTGAAGAGTTTCAACCTCTGTGTGGACATACTCACTGTGAGTTTGGAAATAGCGTTTTAGATATGCTGGATAGTAAGGCACAGAATTCACTGGTTCCCTCGTTCAGGGAGATGGAGGACGTGCCCAGAGCTAAAGACCTCCATGAGAGCTGATAAGTTAGATAAGGCACAAGACAGAGATGCCCACATTTGTTTGTTATCCTTGTAGATCCTTGTGTTGACAGCTAAAGTTTAAGAGTGCCTCCCCGCAGTCCTTTACCCCCTGTTAATAGGAAAACTTGAGGCCAGAAAGCGAGCTCAAAGTTTCCTTCTCTGTGTTTGGAATTGAGAGTTGCGCTGATTTCTTTAGTGAACTCCTTTGGCAGGTGCCATGTATTATGATTTCATTTCCTATTGGAGAAACTAATGTTAGTATCAACTGATGTCACGGGATAGGATTTGTTATTAGATTACTTCTGTCTTTGTTGTGGAGATCAAGGTGATCGACTTGTAAAAGTGCCCTTTCTACTGGTTGTGAATGAACTAAGGCAGATTGTTGCCTGTGTCGATGGCCGAAAATTCTTTTCGGCTTAGTCTCTTTTTCTGACTGATAGCTCTGTGCTATCAGAGTCCTTTTGCTCCTGGAGTTGAAACCTCTCCATAACCATAAAAACGGAATCTAGAAGAAAAAATACGTTGGCTGACAGAACCGTAAGAAATTTGATTGGCGTTTTGACCATCTCTTGCACTACAAGCATATTGTGATGTCCTGGAAAAAATAAAACCAGAACAGAAGTCTTTCATAAAGATTATTATCACTATAACTCTGAAATATCCCTATTGACCACATTCTCCTTCAATGAAATCCCTAATCATTGAATCCCCATTATTCCAACATGTATTTTGTGGAGGAGCTTGTTAGTCCAAGCATGCTAACATTGCTTGGCAGTGCCAGGCTCCAGGAACTCATATTCTAGTGAGGGGCAGACAGCTTATAAGCAGACCAACAAACTAGCACTTAAGCTCAGTTCCGAGGCTAATGCTACAGAGGCCAGAAACAGCATGCTAGACACCGACTTGACTGGTGAGCAGAAGTGAGGGTTTCAGGCAGTCACAAGAGACTGCTCAGAGGAGACAACTTTTGCAAGGAGAGCCAAGTGATGAGAAAAACCGGATGTGGGAATTCTGGGAGAGGAGCTTCTCCAGGCAGAGGTTTCCCAGGGATGCCAGGGAACGTTGGATAGAATGTGTACTGAATAAAGGCCCTAGTCAAGGGGAGAAGTAGGGAACTGAAATTTCATACTTGTCTTGCAAAACTGTCATATCAGGTAAGGGGCTGTATGTATCCTCATAGAGGATTGGGGGGTAGGGGTGGGGATCTTTTCCCCCTGCCATAAAGGCTGTGTGGCTTTCTGAAGCAATGCACCTGAGGAGTGTGTCTGCCAGGGTGGATGTTTTGTTTTGTGTTTAATTTAATTGAAGACAAGTTTATAGGCTAGCAAGGGTCTTGGATGAATTAGGTATATCAGGTTAGTCTGTTACAGGGACAGAAAGAAGGCGAATGTGCTGTAGTATACAAAGTAACATAAAGATAGTAGTGCAAGGGGAGTTAGTGAGGCAAAAATGGAATTAAACATATAGGATTTTGGATTTAGGGGAGGTAGTGTTGTCTTATCTACTAGTGCTACCAAAACAGAAATTATTCAAGTGGGGAGCTTTACTGAAGAGACATTTATTTCCTCATTGTCCTGGAGGATGAAGGTCCAAATCAGAGCTTCTACCACGCAAGTTCCTTCTGTGAGCTCTATTCCCATTCTGGAGTCGGCCAGTGATCCTTGTGGTCCCTTGTATTCTTGAGGTCTGCGTCTCTCCGTCTCTGTCTCAGTGTGTGTGTGTCCCTGTGTCTACTTTGCTCTTGTAATCACTCAGAAGTGGTTGGGTTTAAGATCATGAAGTCAGCACTTTAAAAAAATTGGTATTGGGGGCACAATTCAGCTTGTCATAGGTATCATTGCCATTATATTTTTAAGAGATTGATGGTATCAATCAGGTGGGAGCGAGAACTGCAACAAGATAGAAAACTGAATTCAGTATTATCAGTCCCTTCATCTAGCCCCACCCCATCCTGAACCTAGGTATCTGCTACTGACTGTTCATGGTCTTGACTCCGCCTTTGGTAATTGAGGTAGGTCATGACTAGAATCCTATAGTAGCTTATGTCAAAAAATAAACATAGAGTTACTATAACTGGAAAGCATGCATTTTTCTACTTCTCATATTTATAGCCTTGTGTGCATCCACATTTGTTCAACAGAAATGTGCTGACTCAATGGAGATTAAATAAATAAGTGGGTGCCATTTTTTATGAAACCCAATCTGCACAAAAGCATTCAAGCAAAGACTAAATGGTTCAGTATTATCAACCTTCCTAATGCCGCGACCCTTTCATACAGTTCCTCATGTTGTGGTGACCCCCCAACCATAACATTATTTTTGTTGCTAGTTCATTTTGCTGTATTTCATTTACTGTAATTTTGCTACACTTATGAATTGGGTGACCCCTGTGAAAGGGTCGTTTGTCCCCAAAGGGGTCGTGACCCACAGGTTGAGAACCGCAAGACTAAGAGGAAGTGATAGACTTTGATTTATCATGGCAAGTTTACTTTGTTTTAGGAAAAAGGTAAAATTCTACATGGATTAGACTGAAACACTAAATCAATTCCTAATACAATTAGATTACTAGTACGTGGCATTCTTGTAGCTAGTGCATCTTAAACTTTTCCAGTACGGCTGCATCCATAAGGGGATCTTCAGAGAGTCATGTAAAACAATAGGCTGCCAAGCCAGTGGACTTGGTATTGTGGAACCTGATGTTGATCAGGGAAATCCGAAGGGAACAAAGATATTGTTATCTTTTAAGTGAATCAGGATAAAATGCACCATTTAAGCTTGTTTTGTGAAAAGAAAGTATTAGATTGGAAGATTGATGGATGGATTAAGTGCTTGGTTCTTGGGACCATCCGAGAAAACTAAAAATTTCCCAAAATATGTTCATGAATTTTATAAAAGGAAGATCCTGGCAGCTATGTTCAAGTTTAAAGTTAGCACAGCATCAAAAACTTGGACTTGAAGATGACTTTTTGAGATAGGTAACATTAGTCACAGGCTTATTTTCACAACACAGCCCACGATTTTTGTTCTCTTAGCTCTATGAGAAAGAAGCAGAAAAACAAAAACAATCAGTTCAGTAAATTTGCATTTTCCCTTCCATTTTCACATTTCCTTCATCATATTGTAAAAGATTTGGCCAAATAAAGAAGCCCTGTGGAGGGATTAAATCCCTATTCCTATAGGGAGGGTAATCACATGGGCAGGCCTGCACTTTGCATTTTAATGAATGCCCCACGTTCCCCTACCCACCCCCCTGGGGTGAGGAGAGGCAGGGGGCAAATAGGCCAAAGAGACTCAACAATATAATAACTCTAAGGAACCCTGTTACATAAAGAGAAAGAACCAGACTGGGTCCTCCAAAGAGAACAGATATGCTTGGTTAATTCAGTTGCCCTGACCAAGCGATTAAGGGAATTAAACCTGGCCTGTTTCATTAGGCTGAGTATCCCTACACCTCCCTCTCTCTCTCTCTCTCTCTCTCTCTCTCTAGAGAGAGAGAGAGAGAGAGAGAGAATGCTGCTTAGAATCGGAGAGTTAGCAAGGAAGGCCAGGGTGAAACCAAACACCATCCACCCCAAATGTGCCATTTCACCTTTTCCGCTAAATAATTGCATTTATGAATGTAGCATGCTGCTGCTGTGCCTACCTGAATTAATCCTTTTTTTTTTTAAGGGTACATAAGAACAGTTGTAGGTTCACTGTATGACCAGGCTGTCTAGTAAAAGGCTCTAAAAAGTTTTATAAACCACCAGTAGACACCTACGCCCCCTGATGTGAAACCCGGAGTGTATTGGGTATCACTTGCTTATGGATGATTAACTGTTTTTCTGTTGCATAATAGGCTCTCAATAAATATTTTCAATTAAAGCGTACATGGAAGAATGAATGAATAGATCATCCTCTGATAGACCTGGGACAATTGACCGTTGTTCTGGTTTGCACTAGGATGCGAGAGAATACAAATCCCTGCCTTTTCTGTCTGTCTTCGTGGCGAGTCCAGATTCAGTGAGGGATTACATAGCCAGAAACAAAAGTGAATGAATAATTTATCTAACAGTTTTCCCATAATGTTTTGAAAATCTAAGTAACTCTTTGGTTGTTACAGTAGATTTATTTTCCTTCAGAGTGCCCCCCACCAAAGTCAAACCCACCACCACGGAGTTGATTTCAACTCCTAGCTACCCTGTACAGGGTTCCCAAAGCTGGCGGTCTTCACGAGAGCAGACAGCTGCTGGAGGGGCTTCGGAACTGCAGTCCTACCCTTACCTGACAGCCCAGGAGAGCTCCTTTCAAAGTACCACAGTCTCTCATAGAAGGTGACAGAAGTTCAGGAACCATTACAATACATTGTTAGTTTGGACTTCATAGAGGGGAACATTTACAACTGCTTTTGGATATAAGTAGCGGTAGTAAAAACACTTTCTTCTAACACACCAGTGTTTGGCTGTGGTTGAAACCTGGACATCGCCTTTTAAACATAGGCCCCAGAGCATAAGGGACCTCATTAGAATACCAGGGGAATAGCTTTTGTGATATGTTCACTAGCCATATGCCTCCCCATGTAATGATCTCTCACTACTGAGTTTCAAAATGAACATGAAACAAAGGCTTCTCCTTTGTTTGGGAATTAGTTATTATGTGAGTTAGTACTTGAATCTGTAAAGTATTTATAAATGGTCATTTGCTTAACGTCTCATCACTCCACAATGACTGTCTTTGATAAGGATGCCACTGAAAGCATGATATGATATGCATTTGTGATATGGAATGCATTCAGAGAAACCGTATCATGATGTTATAGTAAATCAAGCTATTAAGGTACAAGGCCAAGGTGCAAGGTGGTGGGATACACATTTTACTGTTAATTGCAAGGTCACCAGTTTGAAACCTGGGAAAAATCATGGGACTTTCAACTCCCATAAATAGTTACTGTCTCAGAAACCCACAGGGCCAGTTCTCCCGTCCTATAGGGTGGTTGTGAGTCAGACGCAACTTGAGGACAGTGTCTCTTTTTGATTTGTTTGTTTATGGGAATAGACCACCACTGGGGTATTCTAATCTGTGAGGTTGAGTGAGGCCAAAGCCTTTTCTATTCATGTACCAGTCAATCTACCTTCCCCTTTCTTGCCTTGAATACTCCTCTGAGACCCACAGATCAGAGGAGAATTCCTGGGTTGTCACAGGGATGGAAACTTCCTGTCTACTGTCCTTCAGTGAAGAACAGTCAGTGCATACTGTTAATCAAGTTGACTAAAGCAATGTCTCATGATGTTGTGCTTAATTTCTGTTTCTGAAAGGAGATAAGGCCCCAAATAGCAGAATAAGCATGCCTTATCATATGATTAAATTTTTAAAAATGAATATGTGAATGGACTCTTTGCTAGCAAGCAATACTTTTCCTGCTTTCTAGCACAGGACTGGGGAGCAGTGTCCTCTTCTGTTGTACACTGGGTGGCTATGAGTCTGAACTGACTCAATAGTTAGTACCTAACTACATCAGTCATCAGCTTTCGGACTGAGTGAATGATTGATAAACCTGAGTTGTTTTGGTTTTTCTCCCCAACAACACAAATGGCTATTTTATGCACATGGATACACAGAATAGAAGAATTGAAAAAAATAATTTTATTGTGGGCTCATACAACTCTTATCACAATCCATAAAAATAGAAGCAATTAAATTGACAACATCTGTGGGCACAAATGATGGAGAAGCCAGTATCAGCAGCAAAAAACGAGGCCAAGGACTGAATGTGCTCATGAGCTATGGGAAGACCTCAAAAATACCACTCAGGAAGAAAGGAAAAGGTCATTGAAAAGTCAGGAAAAAGGAAAAGATCAAAATGCATGCCCAGAAACTCTGAGTTCCTCTTAATCATAGAGTAGCTAAAGCAAATGGAAGACATGATGAAGTCAAAAAGCTTAACAGAAAATCCCAAGGGAATCTCAAGAAGAGCAATTCAAATATTATAATGTATTGTAATGAAATCTGCAAAGACCCAGAATTAGAAAACCAAAGGGGAAGAACATACTCAACACATCTTAAACTCAAAGAACTAATGAAAAAAGTCGAGCCTTGAGTTGCAATATTGAAAGATTCTATGGATAAAATATTGAATGACGCAGAAAGCATCAAAAGAAGATCGAAAGAACACACAGAGTCACTGTACCAACAAGAACTAGTCAACATTCTACCATTTCAAGAGATAGCATAGGACCGAGAACCAATGGTACTGAAGGAAATCATCCAAGCTGCACTGAGAGTGGTAGTAAAAAACAAGATTCCAGAAATTCATGGAATACCAATTGAAATACCATCAGCAAGCTGATGAAGCAATGGAAGCACTCACTTGTATATAACAGGAAATTTGGAAGACAGCTACTTGGCCAACTGACTGGAAGAGATCCATATTTGCACCCATTTCAAAGAAAGATGACCCAACAGAATGTTTAAATGATAGAACATCATTAATATCACATGGAAGTAAAATTTTGTTGAAGATCATCCAACAAAGGTTGTAGAAGAAAGTACACTGACAGGGAGTTGACAGAGGTTCAGGCCAAATTCAGAAGAGAACATGGAATAAGGGATACCATTGCTGATGTCAAATGAATCTTCTCTGAGAGCAGAGAATACTAGAAAGATCTTTATTTGTGTTTTATTGACTATACCAATGCATTTATTTTAATGTATCATCACAATCTATAGCCTTGAGAAGAATGGGAATTCCAGAACACTTGATTATGCTCATGTGGAACTTATACAAGGATCAAGAGGCAATTGTACCAACACAAGAGTACTCTGCATGATTTAAAGTCAGGAAAAGAGTGCATCAGGTTTGGATTTTCTCTCCATACTTATTCAATCTGTATGTGGAACAAATAACCAAACAAACTGGATTATATGAAGAAGAGTGTAGCATCAAGATTGGAGGAAGGCTGACTATCGATCTGTGGTATACAGATGACACAGCCTTGCTTGCTGAAAGTGAGGGGGACTTTTAGCACTTACTGATGAAGATTAAGATTGCAGCCTTCAATATACTACAGCTCAATGTAAAGAAAAGCAAAATCCTCACAATTAGATCAGTAGATAAAAACTAAAACCAAACTCACTGCTCCTAAGTAGATTCTGACTCATAGCAACCCAGTCGGTTTAGGATAGATTTGCCCCTGTGAATTTCTGAAACTGTAACTCTTTACTGGAGTAGAAAGCTCTATCTTCCTCCAGAGGAATGATTGATGGGTTCAAACTGCTGCTGGCAGCCTGATGCTTAATCACTGGCTAACATCATGATACAGGGAGAAATGATTGAAGTTGTCCAGGATTTTTCATGCTTGGATACACAATTAATGCTCATGGAAGCAGCAGTCAAGAGATCAAACGAACACATTTTATTGGGTAAATCTGCTGCAAAAGAACTCTTTTAACTCAAGATGTTACATGGTGAAAATCAAGGATGATACTCGAAGACTAAATAGTGCCTGACGTCAGCCCTGGCATTTTCCATAGAGCACAACTATGTGAAAGTCGGACATTAAATGAGGAAGACTGAAGAAAAATTGATGTGTTTGAATGATAATGCTGGCAAATAATCCTGAAAGTGCCATGGAGTGTCCAAAGAGCAGCTGTACAACCAGAAGGCTCCTTAGCTCCAAGGATGGGGCGACTTCATTTTATGTACTTTAGACAGGTTGTCAGGAGAGACCAGTCCCTGGACAGGGACGGACATCATACCTGGTGAAGTTGATGCTTGGAGCAGTGAACGAGCTGGCTTGACACAGGGCTGTAACAGTGGACTGGAGCTCGGGAAGAAAGGGACGAGGCACAGGGCAGGGGAGTTAGTCGGCTGTGTCTAGGGCTGTTATGGATTGGGACCGACTCAATAGCACCTCACACCACGTTTTTGTTTTTTATTCTGATGAAACATCAGCCATGAGCTGGAGTGGAGCTGGCCATGCACCCTATCCTGAATATTGTTCTTGAGATAGGAAGAAGGACAGGAAATGTTTCAATTATTTCTGCTATCATCTCTCATCCTAAAGAGGATAAGCTAGTTTATCCCTATAAGGAACAAAGCACTTTTGTTTACTCCCAAACCCACCTGAGTACTGTCTAATATGATAATGATATTTGGTAATACTCATATTCGAAGAGGGTATTTGTCTTGGATATTTGTTAGTGATGCTATCTGCTACCTGCTTTCAAATTCAGACACCAAGGAATGACTCCACACCAATGCCTCTCGGCTTTTTTGTACTCTCTCTGGACTCAGTGTATCTAGATAATGAGTATGGTTTTTAACAATTTGACTAAATACTGGTTTGTTATTCCCCTTCATCATTAGTTTTATAATAAATATATTTTCTTCATCTTAAATATCATACTCATGGAAATTTTCATGCTTAATAAGATAAACACATTTATTTCAGCTAGGTTAATTTTGAGATGATAAGCAGGCCAAATGTCCAATGCAGGGTTCTTGTGCCCCTTTTACAATCTAGCTAAAGAACAAGGGGAATCTTGTGTATCTGGAACCCTGCGATATTACTATTGATATTGCAACATAAAAAGTTATTTATTGCATATATTTGATGATGATATTGCAAATATTTCTACCTATTTTCTAGCTTTTACAAATCTAGTGAGAATTAAAATTCACTGATACTAACATTGAAGACATCATCGTGAATTCATTGAATGCTCACTGCATACTAGACTTTAAATATTTTATCTCACTTCGTGTTCATAGCAAATGTGAGATAGGTATATTCTGATCCTGAATCTTAAAGTTATGTTTTAATATTCAAATATTTTAAGCTATGTGAAATGACCTAGTTAATACAGTAAGGTAACATTCGGATTTGCATAACTAAATGTTAAGAGCTGTATCAGGCTTACATAGAATCTGGTCAGAATTCTCGTTTGCCTTCTTTGTCTTTTCATCAAATGTATCCTGAGCTCTGTGTCACCCTTGTTATCAGACTGCTTTACCTCATGGTCAGAAAATGACTGCCAAGA